ACAAGTTTGCACCCACAGGGAGAGGTTAACTCCTGCGCAGCTGCATTTTTCAGAAAATGGTAAATATGTGCGATTTTCACTAATATGAAAGTGGAAATTAAGTGAATTTACTTAGGAAAGGTTGTATCACAGACAAACAGACATAACACATTGAATATTTTTCACTGTAAAACATCGTCGCTAAGACATTACCGCCATCTGTTGAGTACACTGTGGTGGGTAGTACACTGAACAGATGGCGGTAGTGTATAAACGTCAAACGCAAGGGAATTGACTATGCGCGCCACAGGTGGTGGTACTACCAACTAAGATACTTTTAAATTGGCCGTTAAATGCTTGTTCGATGAACAACTTGCGAGTGTTATGTCTGTTTGTCTGTGGTTGTATCATGCTGGTGGTAATAGAGAATTGGTTGTATAGGACGCCAATATTCAATAAATGTTCATTTTGGCCTTTTTTAAGCAAACATATTGATACTCACAATTTTCGACGGAAAACGCACCGGAACTTGATTTACTCAACACGCACCATGCTATAAAATGGTGATAGATGGTCTTCAAAGTGATAACAAGATGACAAATCATCTTTATTTTGATTAATTGAGCAATTTACTTCTGTTTACCATCATATTTACGATGCAGCATTGATGGAGCCGTGAAATGAAATGAATATATCTTGAAAAGTTCACCTAGAAAAGTCAAAGATGCGCATCAGTCTGATCATAAAAACGTTTTCTTCTTCAATTCGAATGTTATATTGGAAGGATTTCATGCAGGCTTGATGAAAATTATGATTTAATGCTAATTTTCACGAATTTTATATACAGTCTGTCAACATTATCATCATCATGCAGTGGCGACATCTGCGTTGAGCTTTTGCGGCAATGTTCCAATAAGGAAATCATTCGAAATTCGGCAGCGTATTTTTAAAGGGCTCGAGCAATACAATAATCAGTCGAAGTATTGGCAAATCAAAGTTGACACTCGTGGAGAATAGAAGAACTATGAAAGTGATGATGGTTTCAAAATTTTACACTTTGAGGTATACGAGTACAATCTTAAAATGCTTCTATTTTGCAAATGGAGCATTTTATTTAAATCTTCGTGTGTTTGAAACAGTTCTACCAACAATCAATACGAAACTAACGATTTTAAATTGGCTCACTACTTGACTAGCCTATTGGTCCCAAGCAAACGATTAACGTACCCCATTCTAGTCGAAATTCTAGTACTACGCACTGTTTGTTTTGATTCGCTATGAAAGTTTGACAGATAAAATGAGGGGTTATTGGTTTTCCCTATGTTTCGAGGGGTGAATCGATTAGCTTGGGACCGAAGAGAGTACCAGAGCTGAGCCAAAAAGTTGAGCTCGTTTCTTCGGGACCTTTTGGTCTTAGAGTTACCTCTATGGTTCTACCGTTGGTACTTGAACGGGTCGGTTTTCATCTCTTTTTGCCAGTGGTGGCGGGGGGGGGGGACACCCCTCACCATCCCTCTCCAAAGGGGGAGTTTGGTAAAGAGAGATGAAAAAACCGATTTGTACCTTCCTTAAAAGTTGTCCTAGTTCGCTATTCTAATATCTATATACAATCTTCACACTGCCGTACTCTAACGGAACTATCAACTCTATGCTTTCATCTACTCCATCTATCGTATAAAAATTACCACTACAGTCTGTTATTTGAAATTAGCATCTTCAACTGTCTACATGATGTTCATTGAGGGCCATATTTTTTCCTTGGGTACTAGATCAGTCCAAGCAGTAGAAACATTTGTAAAAAATTTCATTGTATTTAACTACAAGGTACCAGCTACATTGATAAAGCTGACTGAATTAGTTAAAATACTTAGCTATAAAGTAAAAATGAGCAGTTCACGACTCTCAGTTAACAAACTTTGTAATAAAATGCGTGAGACGATTAATGCGAATAAAATCTAGAAAGGATTTATTCCATTTAATTAATTAAATAAATAAATAAATATTACCGTTAAAATTCTTGTGCATTTTTATTAAATATTTAAAACCAACTTGAGATACAAAATTTGTTTTATTGAAGGTATTACCATAGAGGTAACTCTAAGACTAGAAGGTCCCGAAATAACGTGCTCAACTTTTTGGCTCAGCTCTGGTACTCTCTTCGGTCCCAAGCTAATCGATTCACCCCTCGAAACATAGGGAAAACCAATAACCCCTCATTTTATCTGTCAAACTTTCATAGCGAATCAAAACAAACATTGCGTAGTACTAGAATTTCGACTAGAATAGGGTACGTTAATCGTTTGCTTGGGACAAATAGGCTACTAAAGTGGTGAGCCAATTTAAAAATTAGTTTCGTATTGATTGTTGGTATTACTATGCATTAAACAATGCATGTGGGAGTATAAATTACGCATTTATACTTTGTTCGGGGTGTCAAAACTACGCATTTTTAAGTTTACTATGTGGTGTAAAAAGTATGCAGATTCTGACGTACATTCAATTTACGCAAAAGAGAGTAAAAACAGTATACTCCTTTATTGGGTAGTCCCATTTTCCAAAGAAAGAGCGTACTTTATAGTCATAAGAGAGTTTGTTTTGTTTACCGTGTGTGGTACAATCCAGTAGTAGTGGTGTTGCCATGTGGTACACTGAAAAATTGCAATAGCCGGTGCGTCACCACAGTTTTCGAGCCGCTCCGTCTGTCACTTCGTTTGTGGTACCAGAGCTGAGCCAAAAAATTCAGCACGTTTCTTCGTGACCTTCTGGTCTTAGAGTTACCTCTACACACTTAGATTTTTCTACAGTACACTGTAACTTTTTACCGAATATAGAACAGCTGAACATTCGGTAATCTATTCAGTAATTTTTTTATTTACAATCCGTTCAGTAATTTTTTTTCCTTTGTAAGCTGTCAAAATTTGCTGACCTGGACTGTAAATTTTGCTGAATGATCGGTAAAGTTCGAGGTAAAGTTTGCAATAGCGTTTAGTATAATATTTACCGAAATGAGTGTACTTTATTTTCCTGAATGAATGTAAAAAAAATGATTTTAATTGATTAATTCATTATTTCTTTCACTAAATAAACGAAAAGGTTAATTTGGCTCATAAACATTTATTTTTGTTTTTGTATTTTCACAGTGCGTCCGTTCAAAAATAATATTCTCTCTACTCAGCGTCAGTACACCGCAAACAAACTCGTTTTTTTTCCTGTTGAGAAGGACATCAGGTCGCTTAATGTCGAGCCATGGCACCTGAAAGCCCAGTAATGAAAAAGAATTATACTTTCAGCGAAAGGATTGTAGTAAAAAAGTAAAGTACTTACGGAGCACAGAAGAAAACTCATCTTAGAAATGGCAGCAAAAGTTGGGTTTGATATAATGAAGTTTACAAATGTTCAGTAATTTTTACAAAAATCTCGTACAGCAGTTACTGTTTGTTTTTGTAAAATATTGGGTTTACAGTTCATTCGTCACAATTTTTACAGAATTGTGGAATTTCAGCCATTTACAGTTTTAATCAGTTTTAATTAAGCAGTTGCTCAACATAATCTTTATAAGCATAGAAGTATACATGGAAAAAAAGCAACGTATCGAAATCATTGCTAAACAAACGTAATAAAATATGCTATCTTACTTGACCAACGCTGCATACTATTAGATATTCAAAAATTACGTTGGTATATTGATTACTTTTCTATTTTATAACGAAGATATTTTACAATGACGGTGAATGAAATCGCAAACTGAAGCTGCCGAAGCTGAGTGATGACACCGCTTCGTGTTTTGATTTGCGCTGTACCCTCCGCTCCGTGGTGTGGGTTCGTACATGTATGATGGTGTGCGTGTTTTCTTCCAACACTGCAGTTCAACCATAGAGGTAACTCTAAGACTAGAAGGTCCCGAAATAACGTGCTCAACATTTTGGCTCACCTCTGGTACTCTCTTCGGTCCCAAGCTAATCGATTCACCCCTCGAAACAGAGGAAAAACCAATAACCCCTAATTTTATCTGTCAAACTTTCATAGTGAATCAAAACAAACATTGCGTAGTACTAGAATTTCGACTAGAATGGGATACGTTAATCGTTTGCTTGGGACCAATAGCACAAACGAAGTGACAGACGGAGCGGCTCGAAAACTTTGGTGACTAACCTGCTATTTCAATTTTTCAGTGTACCACATGGCAACACCACTACTACTAGATTGTACCACATGGCAACACTACTACTGGATTGTACTAGCATTTTCACCAAATGTATTAGAATGTTTTGGTTCTATCTCTTTCACTCTACTCAAAACTGAAATGCATAAAAAAATGACAATATGATACACTCTTTGCACACTGTCAAAGAATCATTGTACACAAAATCAACTTTGTTCAAATGAAAACAAAAAAACTAACCCATCTGGTGGATGATGGCACAAGCTTCAAAGAAAATTCTATTACAGTTAACCACATTATTTTAATGGATTTCTTCGCCAGTTAGTCGTCTGTCACTTCGTTTGTGCCAATAGGCTAGTCAAGTAGTGAGCCAATTTAAAATCGTTAGTTTCGTATTGATTGTTGGTTCAACGTTGTATCGTCACAAACCTATTGGCACTGTTATCTGTCTCTATAAATTCCAAAGAGTGAAGGGGGTCTGCTGCAACTCAGCAGCAGCTGGAGGAAGTAGAGGAGATGCTTGCTAGATGGACGGGTGGGATGCTGATAACTAGAATATGCAAAATAAACAATATATCGGTTGATTTTGCTTGATCCGGTTTGTAATTCAAAATCAACAGTTGAATGGGCCTCATCAGCTTTTGTAAACAAAACTTCTTGTTGCCTTTTTTCGTGAATCGGAGTTCACCTACGCAAACCAAAAACGCTATCACATAAGGGAAGCTTTTACAGGTGAGCTCCGATCCACCGGAAAGGCCGCATGATGTTTTGATTACAAAAGCTGATGATGTCTTTTCAATCTTTAATCTTAGTTCATTTAACTCACCCTACTGATTGACTGTCATTCGTTTTCCGCAAGCCGTCGACAGCTCGAGTAACTTTCCGGAAGGATTGCAGCAGCTGCAGCAGGAGCATGAACAAGCAGTTCACTTTAATGCGCACAAACACAATTTTCACCCAATTTTAGGTAAAAAATAAAATAAATATTTAAAAACGCACTTTATTTATAATAGAGTCAAAATTCCTGAAGTGGACCACTGATTTTTCACAAATCATTGGATTCCGTTCAAAATACGTCTATTTATTGCTCTTACCACGACAAACAATAACCCAAAATATTTCGGCAAAATTCGTATTTAAACAAAAGTTATAAACAATTAAGTTTTTTGGACCCTTTTTCGAAAAAAATCTTATCTCTAGATCGGGCCAATGAATTTTTCTCCAGTTTTGATATACTCACAAGAAGACATGTTTGTTCCAAAATCACTAACATTTATTCATCGAAAATGTAATTTGTTTATAATAATTACAATTTTTTATAAACAAATGCAATTTTTTGGTGTTCTTCGCGCGATACAAGCACAGACAAAATACAAGATTGCTTTTTGTTTAGAATTGTTCCTTGACTTTTTTCCCATACAGAACCGTTTCAACATTGTTGTCAACAGTATTGGGAGCCGAGTTATAGCAATTTTTGTAACGCGCCGCACCAAGCGCGCGGCGCCGCGTCGTGCCCCTCGCGCGCGAATCGAGTCGCGACGCGCTCTTGGTCCGAACTCGTTTAAACAAGTGAATTTTTAGTTTGGGCGCACATCACGCTTCCAATTGTTTTTAGTCTTGCTTTCGGCGTGCACGAAGTACCATTTTTTTATAATGGGTCGTGTAAAAGTATGCTCTAATCCGTTGCAAAAGCCCAATCATAAAAAGGTCTACAAAAACCTTTACCTTGTTGCAAAGACCTGGAATGATAAGTTTCAGCAGTTAATTGGACTTTACGTGTGTAATAATTGTCGCAAAAGTATCTACAGCCAGAGTGATGTAATTATTCGACCAATTGATCCTGTTCCCGAGGAGCTTGCAGAATCCGAAGCAGAGTAAGTGGATTTTTACGTTTATTATATTATTTAAAATTTGGGAATGGCGAATCGGTTCTGATGAAATCACAAAGCACATATGATTTTACAAAATAATGATAAAGTTGAGAATATTATAAAATTGTTATTTATCTGTAGTTCTCTCAAAACCTAAGAATTTTTAACGTTTCGATCAAATATTTTATTGAAGGCATTGTATCTTAATGATTGATTATTGTTTTTAGCATATCGGATGATGGGAGTAATGTCCTACAGGACGACGAAAAAATCACAAAACAGACTTTGGCGTGAATGCAGAATGGAATTTTTCGCGACTTCCCACGGGAAAGGGGCGTGCGACGGTATTGGGGGGTCTGTAAAAAGACATGCTTTCAAAACTAGTTTGCAACTAGTGGATGGAAATCAAATTTCCACCCCTAAACTGTTCGAATGGGCTCAAGGATTTTTCAAAAAAATAACTTTTGATTTTTGTACTCAAACCGAGCATGATCTTCACGATCAGAAATATGAAAAGCGTTTCAAAACGGCGATAACTGTTAAAAACACGCGGATGTATCATCAATATCTTCCACTAGACGATAAGAATATCGCATGCAAAATCTTTTCGCATGATTCCAGCTTTGTAAAAATTGCCATCTCTAAATAAATCATGTTGTAAATGTTGATACGTGCAAGAAATGAATATTATAGTATTGGACTTGGTTTTTTTTATTATAGAAGGTTCTCATCTTTTAGTTAATAATTTTTACATTATGTGCAGACATTTATTAGAATCAACGCACAGTAAAAATGTCTTTCCGGTGTCTTTCCCGATGCGTGAACGCGCGAGCGGCGCGACGCGGCGCCGCGCGCTTGGTGCAGCGCGTTACAAAAATTGCTATAACTCGGCCCCCAATACTGGTGACAAAAATGTTGAAACGGTTCTGTATGGGAAAAAAGGCAAGTAACAATTCTAAAAACAAAGCAATCTTGTATCGCGCGAAGAACACCAAAAAAATTGCATTTGTTTATAAAAAAATGTAATTATATAAACAAATTACATTTTTGATGAATAAATTTTAGTGATTTTGGAAGAAACATGTCTTCTTGTGATTATATCAAAACTGGAGAAAAATTCATTGGCCCGATCTAGAGATAAGATTTTTTTTCGAAAAAGGGTCCAAAAAACTTAATTGTTTATAACTTTTGTTTAAATGCGAATTTTGCCGAAATATTTTGGGTTATTGTTTGTCGTGGTAAGAGCAATATATAGACGTATTTTGAACGGAATCCAATGATTTGTGAAAAATCAGTGGTCCACTTTAGGAATTTTGACTCAATAGGGGAAATGGCTCTAATGTTGGCCTATGGATCTAAGATTGGGCCCATCGCTAAAAATCTGCTATTCATCAATTTTATCTAGATGAATGCGTCATTAGGACGGTACTAATGGATTTTTTTTTTCTTTATTAAAGAGACTTTCAACCTTGGGCTGGTTCGTCTCTGGCTGGTACTAATGGATATTTTTGGTTGCTATTGAAAATTTAGTCGATTGCTGAATTTATGTATGGGCCCAAATTAGGGACATTTAGGCCGACATTACATCCATTTCCCCTATTAGTAAAAAGTAACGTTATTTATCGGTATATTTTACCTATATTCTGAATTTTAGCGTTTTAGTATCCTAATGTTAAGTTAAATAAAAACCTGATTTTAGGCAATCTTATCTTAGCGTGTTGTAAATTTGAAGGAAATTCTCGAAATTCTCGAAATACTCAGAGGGAGAGATGGGCGGAGAGAATGTTTTGAGCCAAATGAACTGCCAAAATCTGAGCCAATCGAACATTCTCATTAGAATTTGTCCGAGGATTTCTTATTCTTCCTAGATTAAATTTGAGAGTACTGCAATCGAACAGAAATTCAATCACCTTTTTGTTTCGTGTGCTTCTCAAATTCAACTAGTTTTTTGAATCAAAAACAATATTCTAACTCTATTGATTAATTGATCTTAGTTGAGTAATTAATGGCACCAAGAAATGTGCAAAATATTGCGATGCAATCAATTATTATTTTGCACTTAAATCGAATCAAAAATAAAAGTCATCTGAAATGCTGGCTTCTAGCAAGGGTTGCAAGATAATTTAGGTACAAATCCCTGCTGCCGAATTGTATTTTGTTTTCTACGCCTATCTCTCCCTCTGAGTATTTCTAAGAAATTCTAATAGTAGTGCTGCCATGTAGTACTCTAGACAAATTGAAATAGCAGGTTCCAGAGTTTATAATAGAAGAGTTACGCAGAATGAAACCAAAATCTACTTTACGAACTGTCAAACCGTCTACCTATCGAGCATAGTAGACAAACTGATTCTGTTACGCGGGAAGTATTGTTATCAAAACTAGAGAAACTTTCACAACCCAGGTGAAGTCATCCGAGGTGTAAACAAAACAAAGGTTGCCAAAATAAATAAATAAAACCCATTGATCGACATTAGTGTTGCAAGCTGCACTCTGCGTAACTCTTCTATTATCAACTCTGGCAGGTTCATCACCAAAGTTTTCGAGCTTCGTTTGTAATACTACTTAGTGCATATGGTGGCAAGCAGAACAAAATTTGTTGCAATGAAATGTCCCTAGAAAAGCCTGTGCCATCAACTTCATCTTAATTTTCTTTGCTTTTATTTTTAGGTCCAAATGGAGACGCAGTGTCGGTGACAAGTTCGATTAATTTTTAGTGAGTCTTTGTGTTTTTTTTTTATAGACAAACAGACGTGATTCATCATTAACACTTTATCGTGCTCGCGTTTAACATTCAATTCAATCATAATTAGTTCCATGATCAGCTTTTCGATTTATCTTATGGTATCGGATCATTTTAACATGTATATACACAATATGTTAATTGTACGTCACATAGGGGCCTCCCTTAGCTCAGGTAAAGGCGCAGCAACAAAGCAAGCCCATGCTGGAGGTGGTTTGCAGGGTGGCCAGACCATCTGATTTATCGGTAGCCCTACATGCCTACCGATTCACAGACGAAAGGTTTAAAATTACCGATTTTTCCCTTTTCCTACCAAGAATCACAGATTTTAAGGCTGTGTTGCATTTGTTTATATGTTTATAAATCACAGGAACTACTTTGAATATACGTGCATTCTGGTTGTCTGGGTGATCGGTCAGAAATAAGTCTGCACAGCAAAAAGAAATGTAATATCGATCAACGTAATTCAAGCTGATGTATGTATGAAATAATGATGTAATAGCAAAAATCAGATACAATATTACATCAATGGATGTAATTTTGTTCGCAAAATCGATGTACATCGTACGTGATCGTACGATGTGATATTACACAACCGATGGATTGACCTGGTTACAGCAGTTTCGATGTAATATTCAACAACTTTTTTGCTGTGTTTACATTGATTATTTAAGTGAAAATTCACCATTAGAACACAACCTTAAGGCCTGTATAGAGATCGAAGCAAAGCGAAAACCTCATACAAAATACTAAATTTTTCACCAGCGTGAAAAACGCAATTGGCAAATTTTTCACTTCGCTTTGTACTGAAAACAGATACGATCCAGCGAAATCTAATGTTGTGGATCGCATCTTTTTCGCTTACGTTTATTTTTTTCGCGCATGCAGCGAAAAGAGCAGCAGCTAAAGCCTAGTACCTATACAGATCGAAGCGAAACGAAAATTGAAGCACGCGAAAAATTATGAAATTGAAATATGCTTCCACCTGAGAATTGAACCATCTTAACCCAGCTTTAGAGAGGGTCTAGGATAAGAAATGAGCGGACGCGCACTGGCTAAAGCCCTATAGTACAGTTTAAGCATAGAGGTAACTCTAAGACCAGAAGGTCCCGAAGAAACGAGCTCAACTTTTTCGCTCAGCTCTGGTACTATCTTCGGTCCCAAGCTAATCGATGCACCCCTCGAAACATAGGAAAATCCACGAACCCCTCATTTTATCTGTCAAACTTTCATAGCGAATGAAAACAAACATTGTGTAGTACTAGAATTTCGACTAGAATGGGGTACGTTAACCGTTTGCTTGGGACCAATAGGCTAGTCAAGCAGTGAGCCAATTTAAAATCGTTAGTTTCGTATTGATTGTTGGTAAAAGTATGGACGTCTGTCATAAGTTGTTCCAATCGAACCGTCAAAATGCACCGCTTTGCTCGATTGGAGCAGCTTTTTTCAGTTTTGTGGTGACAGTCGTCCATACTTTTACTGTAGGGCTTTAGCACTGGCTGGTTTTCAGCCAAACGAACTGTCAAAGCCAGAGCCATATATGTATGTGTGTATACACGCTATTTCAAAACTACCTAAATTAGGGTAGAATCCACCCAGATCGGTCAAAACTGAACCTACCCAATTGATACATATTATTTATTTTGACGTTGGATAACGTCTTTCGGCAACATACGGGGGTACAAAATTGAAAACAGTCATTTTGGATGAGTTACGAAACATTAAAAGATTTTGAACGATAATAACTCAACCGTCTCTCGATAGATTTACGAGATAATGGCATCAATCGATTGGAAATATATCTAGCAATTTGCTGAATGTTTCAAAACTATTGATTTCATTCTGTAAACTATTGAAAAATGGTTAAAAGTAAACCATTGTCTAAAGATGGTGAAAATCGATTGATTTTTTTATATTCTTATACTTTCTCCAACCGTGACATCAGATGCGAGTATCTGACACCTCTGATATTTTCTGTTCTACTATATAAGCGTCCAACAAGGTCGCCCGTACCATCATTGTCTATCCGATCGTCGACCCAGCAGCAGAGCAGCAGAGCAGCAGAGCAGCAGAGCAGCAGAGCAGCAGAGCAGCAGAGCAGCAGAGCAGCAGAGCAGCAGAGCAGCAGAGCAGCAGTACCAGAGCAGCGGAAGCAGAGCAACGGCAGTAGAGCAGCGGCAGCAGAGCCTGGGGGCGAAAGGGCAACTACGCCGAGTGCGTTGGTGCCAGTGCTCCGGTATACTGGGCCGCCGTCATGGAATGCCCAGCTGCTGCAGTTCTCAGTCGGTCGTATTCACCGTCTTCTCCGCAAGGGCAACTACGCCGAGTGCGTTGGAAAAATGGCCCTTTTCAGGGCCACAACATTATTAAGAAAGAGTTTAACGATTAATTTTCTAATTGCGAAGCCATATTTTATCTCGAAAAATAGTTTTAAAATTCTTAACAACGATAATCTTGAAAACATAATAAAATTTACTTAGAAAGTACCATATGTTATTTTCTAGTGGATTGGGCAAAGACCTTTTCACTTTGATGCTACATGAAAATAAAGTGAAATTCATTTCCAAATCATATACCGGACCCGGCTGTGTTTGTTTTCAAAATCTCGAAAACAAACCCCCGCACACGTTCTACTTCGTTACTTCTAGACTAACATTTGAAAGGGGCGGAAGAGCCAAAATGTAAACAAACCATATTTTGGCACATATAGAGAAAACAGTTCACAAACTACTCGATAAACACGAAAAAGTAGAAGAAAATATCACTTCATATCATCAAAAACGTTTCTTCTTACATGGCGTATTTCCAACTTTCAACTCGATGATGCAATTGGTTGTTACGCCTTGCACCAGAACAACGAATTATATTGTTTTAATATGCCAAACGTATTGATTCTGTAGTATCTAGTCACGCCCGATTCATTTGAAACGCATCCGATTGATATTTCACGTGTAAACAACGAACAAAAAGAAGACCAAAAAATCTCCGGGCGTAATTCCACTCTCACAAAATTTACGAACGAAGAACCAAGGCGGAACAACAAACAAAAAAATCCCGATGGTGTACTTCCACGGCGTATCACCAGTGTTGGCAGTTCAAAGTGTGGAAGATCTGGGGGGTAACAACATGTATGAATTTATCAGAGCGTATGATGTTTTCTTCTCAATTTCACGACAAAGAAAACTTTTTTTGAGTTTTTAGTTATGCATGATGATAGATTACACTATTAACTATATGTCAAGCTTATAAAATCATCCAGAAAATGGAAAGTCGCGAAATAGGATTAATTTTTAGGTCATCAAAATTCGGAAGCGATTTTCTCGATATGGTTTTTTTTTTTGGAGTTCCGCCCTTTTCAAATGTTAGTCTAGACTTAATCTAGACTAGAACGGAACGAAAGGTCACTTCAACTCTTTTGAATTATTGTGGTGGCCCTGAAAAGGGCCGGTTTTGTTAAGATACGACGAGCCAGCTGGATGTCCTTCGGCATGATAGTGACGCGCTTGGCGTGGATGGCACACAGATTGGTATCCTCGAACAGACCGACCAGATAGGCCTCGCTAGCTTACTGCAGACCCTAATAAAATTGTTATGGTTATTTTGCTTAACGACGTGTTCTGGGAATCTTCCAAACCATTAGTGGAAAAGTTCAATTATTTTGGGTTATCGTTCGTTTATGGTTATTTTTTATTAGGAGAGCCATAACAGCTGAGCTCTGGAAGCGCAGATCGGTCTTGAAGTCCTGGGCAATTTCACGGACCAGACGTTGGAAAGGCAACTTTCGGATCGGCAGTTCGGTGGATTTCTGATAGCGACGGATCTCACGCAAGGCGACGGTGCCTGGCCGGTAGCGATGGGGCTTCTTTACTCCTCCGGTGGCTGGAGCGCTCTTGCGAGCGGCCTTCGTTGCCAACTGCTTGCGAGGAGCCTTTCCTCCAGTGGACTTGCGAGCGGTCTGCTGGGCTGGTTGTGATGTGTATGCAATGAAAGCACACTGTGGAATAAAAATAAAAATCACTTCCATTCTGTTTTATAACATGTGTTTGCTGTGTTCAACCAATCACAAACGATGAAAAAACAAGAACACAACAACTAACCAAAAGAATTTAACCCTCGAGTAGGTATAAAACAGCCAAAATTTTGAATTTTTGTTCACTTTTGTTTCAAACTTCATCGACGTTACAATTGTCATATTAGAAAATGACTGGACGCGGCAAGGGTGGAAAAGGACTTGGCAAAGGAGGAGCCAAGCGTCACCGAAAAGTGTTGCGTGACAACATCCAGGGCATCACTAAACCTGCAATCCGTCGTTTGGCTCGTCGTGGTGGAGTTAAGAGAATTTCCGGTCTCATTTACGAAGAAACCAGAGGAGTGCTGAAGGTATTTCTGGAAAACGTTATTCGTGACGCCGTTACTTACACCGAACATGCGAAGAGGAAGACTGTCACCCCCATGGATGTCGTTTACGCTCTGAAGCGGCAGGGACGTATTTTGTACGGATTCGGGGGTTAATTTAGTATCATCGACTCAGAACCAAAAAATCGGCCCTTTTCAGGGCCACCATATAAATTTAAAAGGTGTTTCAGAATTGACTTTCTTGCCAGAATGTGAAAGGTTGAAGTGATGTGATGGAGCGTTCATCAATCTGCGGATGTTAAGCTTAAATCAACGTAGGTCCTGCTGGTTACCGCTACTAAACCAGTACCGACAATATTTTGCATACATTTTGGTGTGGTAGTTCCAGATACGTCGTGCACTTCCGGAATCGAGAGAAGAAATTAATGAAAACGCCTGAGTTGTCCGAACGCGCTTTGGGGAAAGATATCGAGCTTATTCGAGCGTTTTATTTCGATAAGCAGCAGGTGTGCTGAAGGAATTACAGGGAAACGTCATTCGATGAACTGTTACATTCAAGTAATTTTCCCCGGTATATGACCACAATTTTTAATAGGGCATCACGGCCACCCAAATTTGAGTTAAGTTAGCTTGTTGTAAGTGCAGGAACTCAGCAATGAGAAAATGTCTCATGTTTGTCCAGGATAAACTTACTGAGAAAAGTAAATATTGGACACACATTCATTGGTACTACTCCTACTTAGAGTAAAATAATTTCATTTTCCGGCTGATTTTTGAGATTTTCCACAGGAAACCATGAGCCAATATTACTCATCGCTGGGTTCCTTAACTATTGGCTACTAAAATTTAGGTCGTGCTTATCGCAGGGTTGTCATTGTCAAAACTCAAAATAGTAAACCTATAACACTCTTGTAACTTACAACTTGTACTGTTTATTTTTGATAGAATAAAAGGAAACAACGATTCAGTCCAATGGAAATGGAAAGCTTCATAAAATTTCCAACATAGAAATACAAATTGATTGTGGTACCTAAAAAAGAGTTATTAAGGAATATTCCTAAAATTTAATATACACAATTAAGTACAACACATAACAGACGTTTTTTTTTTCTTTGTGGTTGTCTTTACAGACGGCTAAGACCATAGTTTGGTCCATCTCACCTATAACAGACGTTATCCAACGCTAACCCTGCGGTCGTATCTAGTATACAACCCTTCCAACTTTTTTCTTCTGTGTACACATTAAAGTGATGAGCGGTGGCAAATTGTACTCATCGCTGAGTTCCTGCACTTTTGGCGATTATGAGTGAACTAAACTCAAATTTGGTCGTTCTCATTCGCCGTGTATCTAGAAGAAAGGAGACAAACGCAATGTAGAAAACTACCGTGAGGTTACCTCGCTTGGGGTTGAATCTAATAGCGAATTCGTTTATTATCGGGGTTAACACCAGTTCCAACCCAGTGCGAAACCGAACTTTTTGTCAGTGTGAACCTCAACCTGAGCTAGGTTTTAAAAACAAACGAGCAAAACAAAATATTTCCTGCATCGTAGATAGCAGTGCTAACATTTGAAAACGGCGCAAAAGCCATTTGTAAACAAATGGTTTGTGGGCCCTTTACTCGCTACCCGAAGAACGCCCACGCAAACCAACAGCATCGTCAGGAAGGGGAAAATTTCCCCTACCCGATGTTGCTGTTGTGTCGCGTGGGTGTACTTCAAGTAGTGAGTAAAGGGCCCACAAACTATTTGTTTACAAATGGCTTTTGTGCCGTTTTCAAATGTTAGCACTGCTATCTACGATGCAGGAAATATTTTGTTTTGCTGTGGCTAGCTGCGCATACGCTGCGTAGATATAAAGAAGATTTATCACGATTTTGAAGATTTCCTGCAAAAAGATGATGCGCGATGCAAGTAGATGCGAGAAATTAAAGAAGATTTTTCGAAGATTTATTCGCTAGTGTGAGATTTTTTGACCATCTAGAATTGAGATTTAGATGTGTCGCCCCCCTCGATAAACCGTACATGTCGATTTGTGTCAGTGTAGGAAACCGTATAGGGGAAGTACACCAGTATTGGCCATAAGTTCCTATTCTGACCACACCTCAGAAAACCGATTAAATGACGATATTCGTGCATTTTATTGTGTTGAAGAAAGTGCGGTTTTAGAGCAAATTGTAAACAAACTCGGTCTCTGTCCCATACAAAAATCCAACATGGCTGAATCATGAATTTGACACATTAGAACACCTCTATGTAGTCACCTTGGTTAGTATTATGCTTTAACAAGCATAGATCACGGGGTGTCATTACAGAGTTTCGTACCAATATTTTGAAAAGTGGTTCAAGAGTTACGTATGTTTGCCTATAATTTTGTTAATTTATGGCGATAAGCTCCAACCGGTATTATTCTTGGAATTAATCACGATCTCGAATAACGGCTGATTTGTTGTCGCCGTAGATGTTAATCAATACTATCATTAACAAGCATTTGGCAGATCCACCAATCAGGGACGGTTTTAAAGGTTAGTCCAAGTTGGAGCTTACCGCCATTAGAGGTTATTTTCTAGCTATATAACACTTTATTATTGATTCCTAGTTTCGGAGCTGCTTTAACTGGCCATCGCACTGGTATAATCGTAAACAGTGGAATGGATGATTTTTCGTCTCCTGGATTGAAAAATTACTTTGGACTTCCTGGTTCAAAACGTAATTATATTCGACCGAAAAAACGAGCGCTGTCGTCAATGTCCCCAACGATTATTGTTGGTGAGTATTTTTTATAGATAATCATAGACGTGGACCGAGACGTGGACGAAGAAAACTTTTATATAGTATGATCACAGACAAACAGACATAAACACATTGAATATTTTTCACTATCAAACATCGTTACTAATACCATAGAGGTAACTCTAAGACCACTGGGTCCCGAAGAAAATCATTATTATTGGCTCACTCAGTACCAGAACAACGGTCCCAAGCAGTCCCAAGCTATTTCACTCACCCCTGCATGTTCTGCATGAATCCACACACCCCTGATGTTATCTGTCAAACTTTCATAGCGAATCAAAACAAACATAGTGTAGTAATAGAATTTCAACTAGAATAGGGTATGTTAATCGTTTGCTTGGGACCAATAGGCTACTAAAGTGGTGAGCCAATTTAAAATCGTTAGTTTCGTATTGATTGTTGCTAATACCATAGAGGTAACTCTAGGACTAGAAGGTCCCGAAGAAACGAGCTCAACTTTTTGGCTCAGCTCTGGTACTCTCTTCGGCCCCAAGCTAATCGATGCACCCCTCGAAACATAGGAAAATCCACGAACCCCTCATTTTTATCAGTCAAACTTTCATAGCGAATCAAAACAAACATTGTGTAGTACTAGAATTTCGACTAGAATGGAGTCCGTTAATCGATTTGCTTGGGACCAATAGGCTAGTCAAGTAGTGAGCCAATTTAAAATCGTTAGTTTCGTATTGATTGTTGGTACGTCTCTTGAAAAAATGATGCATATATCTTCTGAATTATTTCCTACTTTTTCGTCTAAAGTAATTTTTGATGGAAAGTTGCACGAATTAATTTTAGTTTAACGTAATTGAAGAAGTTTCTTGGACATAATTTAATTTCATTTTCATTTATCTTGGAACTATCTGCAGGATTCACTAGAAATTATTCGCAGAATTTTCATGGAATCACCCAACAAACAATTGCCTATTGAATAAACGACTTCTTGACGATTTTATTCAACTGCATGCTTAATAATACTTGTACTATTTTTAATAATAACTTCTGTTCAGGCTTTGTTCACACAAATCTGGTGAATTTATTCAACCACAACATTGAAATATTTGGTAGGTTATAATAAGGTATGTCGATAAGCTTTTATTCGACTTACAAGAGTTGTAACAGAGTTTATTCGATCAAATTTTTGATTATTCAGCGTTTATTAGACATCATTACTTCCTTAAACAGCAATGGTATAAAGGTGTATGTAGACGCTTGATTCTCATGTGAAATAATGTTTGGTTAGATACTATTATACATTTATTAAACGATTCTCCAACTACGGTATAATTAATCCTAAAATAAGAACGACACAGAGCAGGGTTAATATCTTTGTTAGTGATTGTTGTGTCATTATTTCTGTCGAAGTACGCACCCACCACACCACACAGATATACATTTAGAAAATTTATTACATAAATACATACAGACACATGTCGTTTTATGGGATTCGAACCATGACCTTCCGATCACCAGCCGCTTGCCTTCCCGTAAAAAAAATCCAATAAAAATACAATGATTTTCATTGTCATTGTAACCATGATATTTACTGTCAAAACATTGGACATTTTTGTCCATTACCATAAAATCACAACGAAATTCATGGTTCACAACAATGGAAATCATGGTATTTGAGAAATTTACAGTAAAAAAAGGGTGTTGTTAAGCATCTTAACAATATAAAAAAGTGATTTTGCCCGAACAAATTTGATCTCATCACACTGATTTTCGTTGTTTAAGCATTGCATCGGTAAAAATCGAAATCTATTTTTTCTCCCGTACAATCATTTAACAATAAATTTTAATGTACTCAAATTTAACAGTAAAAATCATTTTAATTTCGTTGTTTTATTATATTTTTTTTCGGGTTGCCATCTGAGCTATCCTAGAATACATCATATGGGCAGCTAAATAAGCAATAAAAGCTTAAATCTGAATACCTATTAGCACTCCCTGCTTTAACTCTAGCTAATTCAAGGAGATGTGAGAATGATTAATTAATTCATAGTTGTTACCTCTCCATCTATCTAATTTCGATGGCAAGGATGCTGGGCCTCTGCTGGGCTATTCTTTTAGATAGATCGATGAATTGGTTGTCGTGAGTGATACGATCTATGATTACGATTTAAGTTAATTAGGCAAACCTTGTGTTCTCAATCCCTACCCTGCCATCCATTTGTTACAATTTGTTACCCCTAATCTCGAGATAGCCGCAAGTAATCGGCCCCCGCTTTACTAACGTTAGTTTTAAGAAATTTTGCAATCCAAACAATGAATATCGGCTCCGCAAAGCTACGGCAAATGAGCCTGGTAAAATAAACGCATTATAAAAAAAAATGAATAAGGCCTAATAAATAAAAAAAAAGGGTTGAGTTTGGGATTGAACTCGCGAACTTGGAAAGCGGAAACGGTAACTACTAAGCTACCAATTTCGTTTTGTTGTTAGCCTGAAACAGTGTTGTGGAAAAATGAATGTATACGTCGTTTGTAAAGCATTTACAAATCACGCAATTAAAACATGGACGCATAGTGGTATAAGAGCTATTTTGCTGACTGTATTCACCTTTATTCAGCAATATTGTTAAGCAATGCAATGGAATCTAATAATAGAGCTAGAAAACAATTATTAGACGTATGTTATTAAATCAATTGAAAACAGTCGAATTAAAGCGTCAATGTATGTGCAAATTACACTTATTCAGTATGTTATTAGATCAAACTTCTGGTGTTGAATCAGGAAGGCAGTCATCGTTTGTATAGCTTTTAATAAGTATATCAATCAAATCAGAGCAAAGGCGCATTTATCGATCTCAACGTGTTTTTTTCAGCACATAATTTGACAATCCGTTTTATTCAGCATTGTACACTGTTATAAAGCATTTATTCAATAAATATGCTTATTTGTGACTCTGAATTGTTTGTTGGGCATCCTCAGAAATATATTTTTTAAACTGTCCTCAGAATTCAATACCCTTGAGGTTCTTCTCGGAAGTCAAGTTTAAGTTGTCCGTCCATTCACCAAAACGTTGTAGTTTTTCTACCAAAAATGTTCAATTCAGCTTGTTCCTCCATGCAGCAGATTGTTGCAAATCTTACACCAGAAATTTTCAATACAAACTTGCCCCCTGGTAATTTTACACTGAAAATTTCAGTTGACCAAAAAGATGCAAATTTTCCACCGTTAATGTTCCATAAAAAATTGCTTCTCCATTATTCTGATTGGTGCAGATTTCCTTTTTCCATTTTCCATTCGAAATTTTCAATATAGTTGGCTTCTCCTATCATCAGAATGTTGCAGGTTTTTCACCAAATAAAGCTTGCACCTATTTTCAGATTTTTCATCATAAATTTTCAGTACAGCAACTTCCCTCCAATCATCAGAATGGTGCAAATTTAACACCAGAAATTATTATTAAATTTATTTTTTTATCTATTTAGCAGAATGATGCAAATTTAAGACCAAAAATTTTCCTAATACGTTGCCCATCCGTTCACCAGAACGGTGCAGTTTTTCGACCAGAAATTTTCAATGTGGCTTAATTTTAAATAAAGCTTGTACCTTCATTTAAAGACCAGTGCAAGTTTTTCACCAGAAATTTTCTGTTCATTTCATTTATCAGAGCGATGCAAATATTGCACCAGAAATTTTCAATAAAGCATGCTCCTCCATTCACCAGAACGGTGCACCTAAAATTGTTAGTGAAGTTTGTGTTACCCTGCACCTTTGTGGTGTAATTTTCATGCTTTGCCTCTTCATGCGCCAGAATGGTGCATATGATGATATTTTTACACCAGAAATATTCAATAAAAAACTTTTTCATTGATTTACCACCACGAAGGTGAATTTTTTCAATCTTAAATTTACCCTCTTCTTTTAACCCCCTTTTTTTTTCCTTTGGTTTGTTTTTTCCGTCGATCTTGTTTTCCGTGCTGAGCACCAATGCTACCGACGTGCCAGAAAGGCAGCTCCCACACCTGGACCCTACCTATCGACCCATCAACTCATGAACCGGGGACCAACGGCTTTACTTCCCATCCGAAGGAAGGCGTGATCAGAGATGTTATGCCTCAGAACATCCCGGCGGCGCCGACTGGGATTGAACCCAGGCCTGCTGGGGTGAGAGGTAATCACGCTTACCACTACACCACCGGCGCCGTTGTTTTAACCCCCTTGAACACCCTTGAAAAAAAAATTACATCATAAATGTTTTGACCAAAAAAGTTCATTGAAGTTTGTCCCTTCATGCACCTTTGTGGTGCAATTTTCAGGTACTATCTCAAAGAATTTGACGCAATAAAAGGTTTTCAGTGCCCTTATATTATGAAATAAAGTTATTTTACCTTCAAATCAAGTTATCAATAAATCAAGGTATTTTATATTATAATGTTGTAAATGTGGAATTAAAAATATTATTTTCAAAAGGGGGGGCAATTGCTGCCACCTTGCCCCACCCTGTCCACGCCAGTGTTTCCAGCACAACATATTTTTCAAGAAACGACTCCAAGCGGCGGCTCTTTGGATAAACCCTTCACAATGCTGGAATTCTCTATGGCTCTTCTTTCATCGAACAACTCCTCACCGGGAAGCGATATGATTAAATTCAATCTTCTGAAAAATCTCCCAGATATCGCTAAAAGACGCTTGCTAGACTTATTCAATTCCTTACTAGAAAACAACATAATACCGTCTGAATGGAGACAGGTCAAAGTGAAAGCCATTCGAAAACCTGGCAAACCAGCGTCTGACCAAAGATAGTTCATTAACAAGATATCCCACAAATCAATTCCTCGAACAAGGCAATGGATACACCAAAGAAGGTATTTTTCAATGACGGCGAATTAAATCGTAAACTAAAGCTGCCGAAGCTGAGTGATGACGATGAGTAATGACACCACTTCGTGTTTTGATTTGCGCTGTACCCTCCGCTCAGTGATGTGGGTTCGTACATGTATAGATGATGGTGTGCGTGTTTTCTTCCAAC